AAAAAATATTGTTACGAGATTCACTCTGTCACCATCAAATAACATCATCACTACCATTACATCTTCACAGGCATGATCGTATTCACCACCAACACCATAATTACTTAATATTTACCAGGCGAATAAAAGAAGAAATCATCCTAACACATCAAAAAAAGGACAAAGCACACACAATCCTATTATTAAGAAATCCATCACCATCACCATCGGCGTCATCACCATCGCCACTCTCACTTTCACAACCACACTCGCAAACTAGTACCATAACCCTTTTCATTTTACCGGATGAAGCCGAGGGTGAGAAAATACTTGTAGAAAAGGGGGAAGACGTTATTTATTTGTGTAATTAACCATGGACGCCGACGCCTCCTTAAAACAGTCGGTCGGTCGGTCACGCAGGTACACCCACCGGCTCAAGGTGACGCAAAGCAGCCCGTGACGCGACGGAGGAGGTGGGAGGGAGGGGGAAGGGGGGGGGGAGGAGGAGGAGGAAGAGGAGGAGGAGGAGGAGGAGGAGGAGGAGGAGGAGGAGGAGGAGGAGGAGGAAGGAGGAAGAAGAGGAGGAGGAGGAGAGAGGAGAGAGGAGACGACATAACAGATTCCTGCTTCACGGAGCTATCACAGGGACAAGAAGAGCATCTCTATCGTGGCGAACCTTCTTAAGAGACAACGCATTCTACCGCGGGTCAAGAGGCCAAGAAAAGGACAAGAAGAGGTCAGGAAGAGGTCAAGAAAAGGACGCCCAAATGACCTCCCAGCCGCAGGTCACGTCGCGCCTCGCAATGTGCTGCCCTGACGACACAAGCGGCACGTGCGGGAGGCGGGGGGCGGGGCGGAGGGAAGGCTGAGGGGGGTGGGGGAGGGGAAAGGGAGGAGATATGGTGGGGGAAGGGAAAGAGGGGAAGGGAAGGGAAGGGAAGGGAAGGGAAGGGAAGGGAAGGGAAGGGAAGGGAAGGGAAGGAAGGGAAGGGAAGGGAAGGAAGGGAAGGGAAGGGGAAGGGGAGGGGAGGGGAGGGGAAGGGAAATCTAGGGGGAGAAGGGGAGTGGGAACGGGAGAGGGGAAGAAGGAGAAGGGGAAGGGGAAGGATAAGGAGGAAAGGTTAGGGGAATGGAAAGGGGAGGGGAAGGGGAAAGGATTTAGAGGAACGTGATGGAGGGGGGAGGGGGGTGAAGGGAATGGAGGGAAAGGAACTGGTATGGGGGAAGAGGAAGTGGAAGGGGAAGGGGAAGGGGAAGTAGAAGGAGAAGGGGTTAGGAAGAGGGAGGGGGAAAGGAAGGGAAGGGAATGGCGGGGAAGGAGGAGGGGGGAGGGAAGGGAATGGAAGGGAAGGGAAGAGGGAGGAGGAGAACATCAGCTACAAGGCCTCGACCCTCACGACGACACCCCCCCCCTTCTACCCCCGCCTGCCCCGCCCCCTCGATCAAACCACCTGTCAACAACTACGGCCTTTTAAGCACGATTCGACTGACGCCGTATTGACATAGCGTCGCTTCGGTAACTTCGCCATGTTCTTTCGTCAGCAATCTCTCGCTCTCTCTTTCTCTTTTTCTTTCGCTCTCTCTTTCTCATTTTATTTTTTCCTCCTTCCTCATCTATTTGTGATCTTCCTTTCATCTCTCTCTCTTTTCATCTCCCTCTCCGACGTATGTCTAATTCCAGGTCAATCTAATCCACTTCTACCTCCCCTCTCCTCCTCCTCTTTCTCACTTCTCCTCCTCTTTTTCACCTCTCCTCCTCTTCTTCCTCACCTCTCCTCCTCCTCTTTCTCACCTCTCCTCCCATCTCCTCCTCCTCCTCCTCCTCCTCCTCCCCATCGTCCTTCCTCCTTCCCTCCTTGTTCTCCTCTCCTCGACCATTCTTCCCTCGCCCTCCCCCTCCAACCAAGGTCCACCTCCACCCCCTCCCCCTCCTAATCCCCCCCAAGGCCGCCCGCGCCCACTGGCCCTCGGGAGGCGGCGGTGAAATCTCCCTCGATTGCCAAATGCCAACTCTCCCTCCTGCCTTGCGCCACGCGGACACCCCCTCCCCCCCGGCCTCTTCCCCCCCTCTCTCACTTCCAGGGACACCAACCCCACCGTTTTTCACTCTTTTTTCCTTGTTTTCCTTCTCCTCCTCCTCCTACTTCTTCTTCCTTTCCTTTATTTCTTTTTCCCCTCCGTCTTTCTTTCTTTCTCTCACTTTCTTTCTTCCCCCGCTTTCTGTCCCTCTCCCTGTCTATTTCCTTCCCTTCCTCTTCACCCTCTCTACCTTCTTTTTTACCTCTTTCTCCCTCCCTCTCTCCCCCTTCTCCTCCTCCTCCCTCGCTCCCTCCCCCCCCCACCTCACGCTCTCGTAAAGTTTTTCTTGCGGCGTATCATAACAGGAGCAGCGGCGGGTGGGCCGGCGCCCTCATCATCCCGGCCACGTCGATCTCGCCACCTCCTCCCCCCCTCCCCCTCCCCCCCCCCACTCCTACCCCATACTGCACTTCTACTTCTTCCGTCTCCACTACCAAATTCAACCTTCAGCTCTACCTCCACTTCCCCCCCCCCCTACTTCCTTCTCATCCACTTCCACCCCCACACCCACCCCACTACCACCACCACCTCCTACTCCTCCACTTCTATCCCACCTACACCTCCACCTCATACGCCCACCCCGATCCACCTCACGCCCACCCGCATTCTAACTCGCACGAAAAACAACTAAAAACAAAAACAAAAAAAATATCCATCCCTTGCAGTAAGAGTTTGACAGGAGAAAATTAAAACTGGAAAAACAACGAAAAAACAACATAAAAAACAAGGCTCATCCATCCCTTGTAGCACGAATTTGATATGAGAAAATTAAATACGTATTCATAAAAAAAAAAAAAAAAAAATACTCTCGAAGGTATACTAATAAACCCGCCATCGTTACACTGCAAACCACCCACCGCGTCGGTTGCATGAGACAAGCAAACAAGGGAGAAAGAACAAGCAAACAACAGAGAAAGAACACGCAAACAACCTCCTTATGCTTGCTTGCTTGCTTCCTTCTAAGCAACGACCTCAAAACAGAGCAAGATTAAGCGACCCCGAGGTGACAAGAATGGCACACGGCAGGAGAGGGAGGAGCGGCCGGGCCAGCTGTGTGTGTGTGTGCGCGTGTGCGTGCCAGGGAGACGGGAGGGGAGAGGGAAAGAGAGGGAGAGAGGGGAAATGAGAGGGGGAGAGTGGGAGAAAGGGGGAGAGAGGGGGAGGGGGGAGGGGGTAAAGAGGGAGAGAGGGGGAGGGGGGAGGGGGTAAAGGGAAAGAGACGGAGAGAGGGGGAGAGGGGGATAAAAAGTGATAGAGAGGGAGAGGGAGAGGGAGAGGGAGAGGGGGAGGGGAGGGGGTAAAGGGAAAGAGACGGAGAGAGGGGGAGAGGGGGATAGAGAGGGAGAGGGAGAGGGAGAGGGAGAGGGAAAGAAAGAAAGAAAGAAAAAGAAAGAATCAAGACACAGAAAGAGAAAGAAAGAATCAAGACACAGAGAGAGAGAGAGAGAAAAAAAATCTTTCTGGTGCAGCGAGGCCAGCCATCGGCCCCGCAACGCAATGTCAACATTAGCCCGAAGAACGTGGCAGTTTCCAGCAGCAGGTATTAATTAACAAGTGCACCTGGAGGAACCTGTCTCTACGGCCCTTCCCCCCCGTGTTCCTCATTTGCTTCTCTCTTCCTCCTCTTCTGCGTATCCTTCTCCTTGTCTTCGCGCGTCGCCTGTTTTCTTCCCCTTCAAACCACCTTTAAAAATTAATTCACGGGTACACACTATTCTCGGGATAAAAAAAAAAAAAACAGGAGACAGCTGTGTAAACACAGCCGGAAGGAATGTGACTTGCCAAAAGATTTAAAAGTCTCACACTTGCCCCCCCCACACACCCACACTCATCCCCACACACTCTCCCCCACACACACCCATTCGCCCCACACACACTCACACTCGTCCCCACACTCACACTCTCCCCCACACTCGCTACCCACACCCCCACCCACCCACATCCACATCCACACCCACACCCACACCCACACCCCCCACACACACAAACTCAAGAAAAAAATAACACGATTGCCGGACGAGCGTCACAGCCAAGTGGTCATGCAGACGTATTTCCCGCACGGCCAAGGACACGCTAATACGGCCCGAGGGGGGGGGGGGAAGAGGTGATAATCTGAGTTAGAAGATGAGGAGGAGGAGAATGGTGCAGAGGGAGAGGGAGGGGGAGAGGGAGGGGGAGGGGGGAGAGGGAGGGAGAGAGGGAGGGGGAGAGGGAGGGGGAGAGGGAGGGAGAGAGGGAGGGGGAGAGGGAGGGAGGGGGAGAGGGAGGGAGGAGGAGGGGGAGGGAGAAGGAGAGGGAAAGAGAGAGAAAGAAAGAGAGAGAGAGAGAGAGAGAGAGAGAGAGAGAGAGAGAGAGAGAGAGAGAGAGAGAGAGAGAGAGAGAGAGAGAGAGGGGAGAGAGAGGGGGGGAGAGGGGGGAGAGAGAGGGGGAGAGAGAGGGGGAGAGAGAGGGGGAGAGAGAGGGGGAGAGAGAGGGGGAGAGAGAGAGAGAGAGAGAGAGAGAGAGAGAGAGAGAGAGAGAGAGAGAGAGAGAGAGAGAGAGAGAGAGAGAGAGAGAGAGAGAGAGAGAGAGAGAGAGAGACTCACACAAACACGAGAAATGAAGTTGTGTCCCGGGTGATGGACCGCGACGGCATGAGAAGCCGGCGAGGGAGCAATCCAGACACGCTATCAAACGCATGCACGCACGGACGCACGCACGCATACGCACATACCCCACGGATATACACCCAACATATACGAGACAGAGACAACCAGACACAGACAGATAGACAGGGACAGACAGACAGACAGACAGACAGACAGACAGACAGACAGACAGACAGACAGACAGACAGACAGAGACAGACACACACAGACACTCATTAACTCACTCACACACACTCACTCTCCTAATTCCCACGACACCAGCGCCGCCCGCCCACCCGCAGGCCGCCCACTCACCGTCCTGGTCTGTCTCCCACACGAACTCCATCGACGGCACCGAAAACCGCACCTTGGACGCGCCCGACACTCGCGGGCTGCCCAAGCCGCTGCCGCTGCCCGCGTCGCCCACGCCCATGCTGCACGCCCGCACCTTCATGCCTCAGAGGCTGACGAAGGCGGCGACGAGGCTGACGAGGCTGACGACGATCCTGATGTTGATGCTGACGATCCTTCAAAAAATTAAACTACGATTTCCACTCCTTTTCTGAACACTTTTTTTCCACTCGGCGACTCTATCACACCTCTATTTTCAACGGCTTCGTTCTCTCGTTTTTTCTCATCATCGGCGTCTTTGTTCAACCTTCCTTTTATTCCATCTCACTTCCCTCTCGTTTTCTGCAGAGAGACTTCAATGGGCGCTCACGACGTAATCCAGTCTGAGTCTTTCTTCGGAGTTTCTGAATAACTTCCTGTGCACAGATGGGAAACTGATAAGAAAAATGGCCTCCAGATAACGATAAGAATGTTGGGTGTGTTGATGATTTGAAAAAAAAAAGTAGAATGGATGAACATATATTCGGATGATAACGGTCGGTAAAAAAAGGAAACGGAAAAAAAAGACACGGAAATACAAATACACAAACGGAAATAAATGAACAAACAAATAAATGATCAAATACGTAAAAAACAAATAAATAAATAAATAAACAAATACACAAATAATTAAATAAAACTTTCCTCTACTCCTGTTCTTTTATTCCCCCTTTTTTAACTATCTCATTTTCATCCCCACTTCTTTCTCATAATTTTTCATTTCCCCTTCCTTCTATTCCCCTCCTCCTCCTCCTCCTCCTTTCTCATTTTCGTCGTTCCTTATAAAGAAAAAATCGTAACCTCCCAAAATATCCTAAAAATTACCATGTCTCCAACGTGAAGATTTTTAAAAAAGACGTCTCCTAAAAAAATAAAATAACAATAACAATGCTAATAAAGACACGACACAATGGCAGCAGAGAGGATGCAAAATCATGGCAACAATGATAATCCGTGTCATCTGGGCAGCATCTTTTGAGCCGCCCCGAGACGCCCACAATGGCCGCCGCCTTTGACAAACACGCCTCTCGTTTGTCACGCTCGCCCATGACTATACTGTCCATCCACGCCCTTTCTCTGTCACCCTTTAAACCCCTGTCACACTTCCACGCCCTTTGCCTGTCACCCTTAAACGCTCCTGTCACCTTCCCATGCCCTTCCCCTGCCACCTTTCTATACTCCTGTCACTCTTTAAAGCCATGCCAGTCTTTAAATCCCTGTCACCCTTCCACGCCCTTTCCCTGTCACCCTCTGAATCCCTGTCACCTTTCCACGTCCTTTCTCTGTCACCCTCTGAATCCCTGTCACCCTTCCACGTCCTTTCTCTGTCACCCTCTGAATCCCTGTCACCCTTCCACGTCCTTTCTCTGTCACCCTCTGAATCCCTGTCACCCTTCCACGTCCTTTCTCTGTCACCCTTCTACTCGTACACCGGCCTACCCCTTCCCTCCCCCTGCCCACGCGGCCTCGGCAAAGCCCCCTTCCACCCCGCCAACATCTGTCTCGCAGATTCATCCAATGGACTTCTTCCCGTTACACCTACACCTACTTGAGCGTACTGAACCCCGCCCACGCCCATGCTTCCTCATTACAACCTCCTCCTTCCCGGCCCTCTGCCCTCCAGCCCACCCCCCCCACCTCCAACGAAACTTCACACGTACCCACACGCAAACGCCTTCACAATAATACCCGCGCGACTCTAGGACGAAAACTCGTTACTTTGAGCGTGACGAGTCTGCTAAATACCCACCTTGTTATCCGCTCCTCCAACCCCTACCCCCTACCCCCTACCCTCCCCCTCCCACTCCCCTCTCTCTCTCCTCACCCTTCCCTAACACCCGCCCACACTTCCCCCCCTCCCCACCCCACCCGTACGCCCACCGCCTCCTCCGAGACCACCAACAGCCACCCAGCCAGCCCACCTACCCACCCACCCGCCCACCCGCCCACCCACCCGCCCACCTTCGCCCACCCGCCCACCTTCGCCCACCGAGTCCCGCATTTTCTCTAGCCTTCGAGAAGCCCGGCAGTCCGCGCTTTTACCCGCCGCTCTGACCTTCCAGGAGGGTGGGGGGTGGGGGTAGGGGTGGGGGATGTGGAGAAGGGAGACCGGGGGGTAGGGGGTAGGGGGGTCAGGTGACATGCCTTCTCATTCATGCTCTCTGCATATTGCAACTTCCTTTTTTTATTTGCTTTCGTCTTTTCCATTCTACATCTACTAGGTGTAGATTCTTCTCCTCCTCCTCCTCTTCCTTCTTTATTCTCCCTCTGCTCCTTATTCCCTTCTTATTTCCCCATTCTTCTTTATTCCGTTCCCCTTATTCTTCCTCTCTTCCTCATCCTGTTCTTATTCGCCCTCTCCTCTTCCTTCTCTTCTCCTTATTCTCTCTCCTCCCCCTCCTCTTCCCCTTTTTTCTTCCTCTCCTCCTCATCCTCTTCTCCTTATTCTCTCTCCTCTCCCCCCCCCCCTCCTCTTCTGCTTTCCCCTGCACGTAAATAGTTCGTCTTCGGTTCCCACCCCTTCTTGCAACCTGCAGCGTACGGCTTCGCAATCTGCAACGCCGATCCCTTAAAACTCGACACCTGCTGAGCGCAACACCTCACCCTCAGTCTCCTCTTCCTTTCCTCTTTTTTTCGTAATCTATTCTATCGTCCCTTCCCCCTTCATGTCCTCCTCCTCCCGTTTCGTTCTCCATTCCATATTCTCTTCCCATTCTCTAAATCTTTTGTCTTCCCTTTTCTGCCTTCTATTCCTCATTTACTTTACTTATTTATTCATTTATTTTACTTATTTATTTATCTATCTATCTATTTATTTTTCTATTTATTTATTTATCTATTTATTTACCTATTTATTTATCTATTTATCTATCTATTTATTCATTATAAAACCTTAAAACTACACCAACTTAGGAACATTTCACTACCCTCCCTTCCACTCCTAAAACCCATCCCCCATCATTCCGCAAATGAGACGAAGCGAAAGGCAAGCAAAAGGGCCGGAGATGCAAGCGCCGGGGAAGAGGGAGGAATGGGAGACAGGGGAAGAGGCAGGAATGGGAGACAGGAGACAACGCCCGCGAGGAGGAAGGGGCTGGCGGTCGCTCGCTCACATACGCACAAGACCGACACACAGACAGACAGACACGGACACAGGTACAGGCAATAGATATAAATACAGACACACAAACACACACATACAAGCGCGAGCACGAACGCACGCACGCACGCACATAAAGCAAACCTACTTTCCCACGGACGGACACGGGTCAACATAAACCCATATACGTACGCGTGTGAACAAAGACGCACAAAAACTTGTACACATATATTTAAGTGTCGATATTAAAGTGACACTTTTACGGTTGTAACAATAACTTTGCAAATTATTGTTATTTTCATTATTGTTACATTATAATTACCATTATCATTACCATTATCATCATCAAAGATATGTTATTAGTAGTACTATCATCATTATCGTTATCAGTATCATCAGTATCATTATCACTATCGTCAGTATCATTATCAACAGTATAATGATCATTATCATCACCATTACAAACACACACACACACTTACTGAACCACGACCAAAAACGCTCACACGACTCCTCACCTCTTGACCACCCATCCCATACCCTCCCCTACCCCCTTACCCCTTACCCCTGACCCCTACCCCATACCTACCTACCCCTACCCCTACCCCTACCCACACCCGTAACCCCCCACCCCGCCCCCCTCCCCGTCCCTCTCCAGCACGGACCCGAGACCGTTCGAGCGCAGACGGCCGCAGGATCGAGAGCGAGCGCCTCGGCCCTCGACGCCCCGCACTCTTTACCCCCGAAGGACCCCGAGGCGAGCCAAATTTCCCTCGGGAAGCCCAGCCCGAGCGCAAAAAGGGCCGCCGAGTGTCACATGTGCGTCGGCCGTTGGGAGATGACGCCGAGGGGGGAGTGGGAGAGAGAGAGACAGAGGGACGGGCTGGAGGAGGGGGGGAGGGGGTGATGGACGACCTCCACGCAGCTTCCCACCCACCTTACAACTCCCTCCCCCCCTCCCCTTCTAACCCACCTGCCCCCCCACCCTTCGCATTCATTCATTCCGGAGCTGCGTCTTGTGCCAATGGGGAGGGGGGACGGGGGATGGGTAGGGGTGAAGGGGAGGGGGGGGCGAGAAGCGGCCAGATGGTGCTTGGATAGCGAGAGAAAAGACAGAAAAAAGGGGGAGATAGAGAACCGAGAGGGGCAGGCAGGTGTGCAGAAGAGAAATGGGGGGAGGGGGAGGGAATGGGGAGGGGAGGGTGGGGAATGGGGAGGGGGAGGAGAGGGATGGAAAGGAGAGGGAGGGGGAGAGGGTATGGGGGGGAAGGGGGAGATTGTAGTGTCCGGTTACACCATAGATGGAAAAATTATCTCAGCTATGGGGACCTATACAAGGCCTTAAAACTCCCCAATTGCTTGGTATCCCCCCTCCTCCCCCCCTCATCTACAACTGCTTTCCCTCTTTCTCCTCTCCATTCTCCTCCCTCTTCGTTCATTTCCACTCCCTTTCATCTCCTTTTCTTTCCCCAACTTCCCTTACCTGTTTTCGCCCTTCCTTCCTCCCTCCCTGTCTCCCTCCCTCCTACCCCCCTCCCTCCTTCCCTCCTTCCCTCCTTCCCTCCCCCCTTCCCCTCACCCCCCCCCCTCTATCTCCCCCTTCCTCCAACATACCACAAAAAAAAAAAAATAATGTCAAAGATTTTTTCCCCCTCCTCCTCCATCTCCTCCTTCTAAAAAAAAACCTCTGCCCTTGACCGACACAAGAATCCCTGGGCCTCCGCTGTAATTTTTTCTCCATTTCACTTCCTCTCGTTATCTTCGCGAACCGACGACGCCTGTATCGCGCGGTCGATCTAAAGGGCCTTCGCGTCAGATAACGATT